CACCAAGTGCACGCGAAAATTTATCCGAAATATTCCGTTAAAATACCGTATTGCGTATTTAACACACCACACATTAGTGTTTACATAAACATGACCAAGACATACCACCACCAAGTGCACGCGAAAAGTGATCCGAAAAATTCCGTCCGAAAATGCTATTTTGTGTACATAAAATACCATTCATCAGTGTTGACATAAACACGATCACGATATATATCACCACCACCACCAAGTGCACGCGATAAATGATCCGAAAAATTCCGTTAAAAATACCGTATTGCGTATGTAACACACCATACATTAGTGTTTACATAAACATGACCAAGACATACCACCACCACCAAGTGCACGCGAAAAGTGATCCGAAAAATTCCGTCCGAAAATGCTATTTTGTGTACATAAAATACCATTCATCAGTGTTGACATAAACACGATCACGATATATCACCACCACCAAGTGCACGCGAAAAATGATCCGAAAAATTCCGTTAGAAATACCGTATTGCGTATGTAACACACCATACATTAGTGTTTACATAAACATGACCAAGACATACCACCACCACCAAGTGCAATGAATCTGTGTTGATATAAACACGATCACGATATATCACCACCACCAAGTGCACGCGAAAAACTATCCGAAAAATTCCGTTAAAAATACCGTATTGCGTATGTAACACACCATACATTAGTGTTTACATAAACATGACCAAGACATACCACCACCACCAAGTGCAATGAATCTGTGTTGATATAAACACGATCGAGATATATCACTACCACCAATACAAGCGAGAACAGAAAGTGATCCGAAAAATTCGTTTGAAAAAGCTACTTTTTGTACGTAATAGACAATGTATCATCAGTGTTGATATAAACATGGCCAAGACATACCATCATAACAAAGTGCACGGGAAAAGTGATCCAAAAATTCCGTTCAAAAATGCGACCTTGAGTACGTAAAATACCATGCATCAGTGTTGATGTAAACACGACCAAGACATACCACCGCGGCTATACTCACGCGAAAAGTGATCCGAAAAATTCCTTTCTAAAATATTACTCTGTGTAAGTATAACACCAAGCATTAGTGTCGTTATCTAACAGGACCCAATCATACCACCACCGCTATATGCACGCGAAAAGTGATCCGAAAAATTCCGTTAAAAAATGCGACCTTGATTACGTAAAATACCATGCATCAGTGTTGATTTTGGTTGGTTAGTTTGTTGTTTAACGCCACATTCAGCAATATTGCGGCTATATGACGGTGGTCTGTAAATAATCGAGTCTGGACCAGACAATCCAGTGATTAATGTCATGAGCATCGATCCACGCAATTGGGATCGATGACATGCATCAACCAAGTCAGCGAGCCTGACCACCCGATCCCGTTAGTCGCCTTTTACGACAAGCATGGTCACCTTTTACGGCAAAAATGGGTTACTGAAGACCTATTCTACCCCGGAATCTTCACGGGTCGCATCAGTGTTGACATAAACACAATCAAGATATATCACCACCACCATATTCAGGCGAGGAGTGATCCGAAATATTCCGTTAGAAAATGCTACTTTGTGTATGTAACAGACAATGTATCAGTGTTGATTTAAACACGATCAGGACATACCACCGCCATCATATTCACGCAAGGAGTGATCCGAAATATTCCGTTAGAAAATGCTACTTTGTGTACGTAACAGACAATGTATCAGTGTTGATATAAACACGATCAGGACATACCACCGCCATCATATTCACGCAAGGAGTGATCCGAAATATTCCGTTAAAAAATGCTACTTTGTGTACGTAACAGACAATGTATCAGTGTTGATATAAACACGATCAGGACAAACCACCGCCATCATATTCACGCAAGGAGTGATCCGAAATATTCCGTTAAAAAATGCTACTTTGTGTACGTAACAGACAATGTATCAGTGTTGATATAAACACGATCAGGACATACCACCGCCATCATACTCACGCAAGGAGTGATCCGAAATATTCCGTTAAAAAATGCTACTTTGTGTACGTAACAGACAATGTATCAGTGTTGATTTAAACACGATCAGGACATACCACCGCCATCATACTCACGCAAGGAGTGATCCGAAATATTCCGTTAAAAAATGCTACTTTGTGTACGTAACAGACAATGTATCAGTGTTGATATAAACACGATCAGGACATACCACCGCCATCATATTCACGCAAGGAGTGATCCGAAATATTCCGTTAAAAAATGCTACTTTGTGTACGTAACAGACAATGTATCAGTGTTGATATAAACACGATCAGGACATACCACCGCCATCATACTCACGCAAGGAGTGATCCGAAATATTCCGTTAAAGAGTGCTACTTTGTGTACGCAAAATACCAGTGCTGATATAAACACGATCAAGACATACCACTACTACCAAGTGCAAGCGAAAAGTAATCCGAAAAACTCAGTTCAAAAACGCATCTTTGCGTATGAACCACACAATGCATCAGTGTTGATATAAACACGACCAAGACATACCACCGCCACTATACTCAGGCGAAAAGTGATCCGAAAAATTCCTTTCTAAAATATTACTTTGTGTAAGTATTACACCAAGCATTAGTGTCGATATTTAACAGGACCCAATCATACCGCCACCCCCATGTGCACGCGTAAAGTGATCCGATAAAATCCGTAAAAAATGCTTCTTTATTCGCGTTGATAACCATCAGTCATTGTTTAGATAAACACGATCAAGACACACCACTTCCACCACCATCATATTCACGTGAAAAGTGATCCAAAAAATCCTTTTTAGTGTATATAACACATCACACATCGGTGTTTATATAAACATGACAAATGCATACCGACACTTTAAAGAGCATGAGAAAAGTGATCTGAAAAAATACAACTCAGTGTACAAAACACCATGTCACGTATGGTACCATGTGGCGGACAGAAAGAGAAGAACATGAATCAACATTTTAATAAGCGATTCTCCGTCACCTTTAGTCAAATTACATGTATTTCATCATTGCTCTGTCAAGCTATGTGTACTGGTTATTACATAAATTGACCGCAATGAGATTGACCATGTTTTGCTGAAATGTTTATCCATAACACCATGATGCTGTGAATGTGAGTTTAATGTTGTTCGTAATTCGAACTGCTCATTGTCATGCTGTAAACCACGTTTTAAGTGACTGCAAAATGTCAGACTCTTTGCTCTGTACATGATCACATTAACACAATAAGAATTCAATTATTTTATTTGCTTGAAATTGATGTACAATGGCGTTCTGAAACCAGAAAAGAATGTAAGTAAATAGCAGGCAATTTGATTCAGGCAGTTGGTAAACCAATCATATTCAAAGAAGAGACATTTACAAACAATTTGCAAAGACATATTGCGCGCTAAATCTACTCGCGTCTCCTAATTTAGCGGGTTCCCATTTTCGAGTCAAAATCTGCATACATGCATGTTCGCAAACTGAAATTTGCAAGGCAGTATGTACTTTTCACAGTTATCATATATATTTAAATATATTTGATAAGATGAAATGTCAGCCGTGTTTAATTTCTGAGAATATGATGTGACACAAAATGATTGAAATACATAAGTTGTCAACCGATTGCGAGGGGTATATGGTGTGATGTACCCAGTGTTTGAGCCTCTGCTCACACACGGTGTACATCACATCACATAAACCGAGGGTTCGGTTGACGACGAATGTATCCCACCGACGTTCACACAGACCCAGAAAATATGTGCGAAGTTTTACAGACGACGCAAACTGAATTACTTCCCTTTGCCCAGTGCATTCTGATAAACACAGGTTCATTTCAGCTCAAAGTATTATGCGTGATAAGCAAGTTACCTAAGGCGTGTTCCAATTGATTTCTCAGCGGGAAATGTGAGCGTCCTTCATGAAAAATAATTGCTAGCTCCTGGGCCAGTCGGAAGCTTGTATTTTAATGTAAGGTGAAATACATTTATTTGGACATTTATTGATGAATACTTAATTGTGTCAATTGAAAAGCCCTTTTCCTGTAAAATATATTTGGAATTTAACTATTTCAAAATGAAATTCTTAGATTCGTGTTTCTTTTGGAAAAAGATTTATAACATCGGTCAGAGTTTGTGTTAATTTAACCAATATGCCTTTGCAAATATTCAGACAAACGATGTTTAATTTAATTTTTTAAAAATTAAACAACCATATCCGACAATATGCGTTCGGTGGAGGTTCTAACACTCCTTTTCAAGAAGGTAAAGAAATATCATTAACACCATTATTTTTGTTGTTGTTCTTAATTGTGCACCTTATTTATGTTTCGTTTGTTTGTTTGTTGTTTAACGCCGCACTTGGCAATATTTCAGCTATATGACGGCGGTCTGTAAATAATCGAGTGTAGACCAGACAATCCAGTGATTGACATCATGAGCATCGTTCCACGCAATTGGGATACGTGGACATGCATCAACCAAGTCAGCGAGCCTGACCACCCGATCAAGTTAGTTGCCTCTTACGACCAGCATAGTGGCCTTTTACGGCATTTAGGTACATTTATCAATACCAGCTATTAATCCTATGTTATCATATTGAGAATCGAACCCAGGTCTTAAGTATGACGAGCAAACGATAAAACCACCAAGCTACCCTTTAGTTTAATAACTGAATATTTTACGAACATGAGACCCGTGGAGATTCCGGGATAGAATAGGTCTTCAGCAACCCATGCTTGCCGTAAAAGGCGACTATGCTTGTCGTAAAAGGCGACTAACGGGATCGGGTGGTCATGCTCGCTGGCTTGGTTGATGCATGCCATCGGTCCCAATTACGTGGACCGATGCTCATGATATTAATCACTGGATTGTCTGGTCCAGACTCGATTGCTAGTATTTACAGACCGCCGTCATATAGCTGAATATTGCTGAGTACGGCGTTAAACAACCAACCAACCAACCAACGAACATGAACATAAACAAACATTTGATACCTACCAAATTGCGTTAGATGATCGCGTCATATTGTCGGTGTCCTGATGCCGGTACTGTGTTCATTCGGTGCCATACAGACATATGGACATACTGGCCTCTCTCTGTTCTCTGTTCTGTTCGACCATGATCCAAGAAAACAAAACAAAACGTTCACAAAAACTCAAAGCAAAATGATGGGAACTTCAAGGCAAGATTGCGGTCGTCGTTTTTTGTACAGTAATACTCATGTTCATTTGGGCTATTCTATTTTTTCTAACTTGAAATCTTAACCAATTGAAAATACAAATTGCAAATTAGAGGAGCCACTGCCTATCGTCACCTTAATACATTAACATGTCATTAAGCTCACCTGGCCTGTCCCTGTTAGGGGAGTTTATGTCTTGTTTGTCATTTGCTTTTGTTTTTGTTTTTGTGTATTAATTCACGCTGCACCCAGTATTTGTTCAGCTTGTCGGCGGTAAGAAGTCACACTACAGTCTACAAAACGACTTCACCTTGGCTGATGAAATCTTGCCGATATTTGTCTATTCACCAAGGGCAACGCTGTCTACATATATTGACGCGCAACGCTGAGTGACAGGCTCGTGCTCTCATAATGAACCCCACAGGAAAGAATGCCGGTTTCAGTATTTGTTTCTTTTCAGTTTGTGTGTAGCATTCAACAATGTTCCAACTATATGACAGCTAATAAATAATCAAGTCTTGACGCGGTCGCTGAATTGTCATGACAGGAGTTTGTATCTGGGTACACATTACAACCTGGACCCCGCGGATAATTATATACTGAACCGCAAAAGAAACGTCACCATGGATAGATATATGAGAAAACTTATTTGTCCAAACACTGTAAACATACTTCGTGACATATTCAAAAAATGAAACTTGGCAAAACTGATCATCAAGTTTGAAATTAAAGTGTCAAATGTTCTTAAAGTGAAACACAACACTAGTCTCTGAGAAAATGGCATCACAAGTCAGTATCTCGTGTGTCCGCCATGTGCATTGATGACTGCCGTGCAACGTCGAAGCATGGTATGGATGAGGCGGTTGATGAAGGCCATAGACACTTGAACCCACACTCTGAGGAACGCCTGACGCAGTTCAGCCTTGGTCGGGCGTCATTCAGCCGTCTTTGAATCTCGTCCAACATGTGCTTAATGGGATTTAAATCGGGACTGAGGACAGGCCAGTGCATTGTTCTGATGCCATTCTGATGGAGGAAGTCTCTTGCTGCTCTCGCAGTGTGGGCACGGGCGTTATCTTGCTGAAACTCGCGTTTGCAGCGACGTGCCAAATGAGGTATGGCGTGTGGTCTCAATGTACCGAGCTGCTGTAACACCATTGTCTCTTCCTGGACCGAGGTTCTTGAAGATCACAGGGCTGACCCTCTGTGCAAGACCAATTCCACCCCACACCGTGATGCTCGGACCACCCCACGAGTCTCTCTCAACAACACAAGCATCCGAATAACGTTTCCCACGGCGTCGCCAGACTCTTTCTCTGCCATCTGCTGTTGAGATTCAGTAACGGCTCTCGTTTGAGAAGAGGACTCTTCTCCACTGCTGGTGGCGCCAATGCTGGTGCTGTGTTGCCCACTGAAGACGGTCCCGGCGATGACGTGGTGTCAGAATAGGTACTCGGTGTGGCCTGTGACAGTGGAGGTGTCTGCTCGTCAATCGTCGACGCACGGTGTCCGCACTAATGTATGTATGTATGGTTTCATGATTTTATAATCATCCACATTTCATACGTTATCCATTTCATACTTTATATCAAGTAAGGTTTCATTTATCAATACATTTATGCGCCTAATGTGTCCTGACCGAGTTGCCTGAACTATGGTCTTCTTTTTTAGATAAACTCAGTCAGGATGTATCGACTCTATGCTGCAACATGTTGAGTTTAAGATGACAAGACGGCTGTCTGTAAATAAGTCTGCACCAGACGAGCCAGAGATCGATATCATGTGCATCAATCTACGCAATTGGGATACGACGACAAGCATCAACCAAGTTAGCGAGCCTGACCACCAAATCAGCTTCTTACGACAAGCATGGGTTGCTAAAGACCAATTCTAACCCGGATCATCACGATTCTCCAGTAATACGAAGCCTCATTTCCATAATAAAGTCGTTGACCCTTTTATGAGTGGTATGAATAGCTACAATCCGCTCATCTATCCATTTATCTTTTAGCATCATCATAACATCATACTTTTTATAAATTCTTTTTGATTTATCAGTACAAAATGTGACTATGAATACGTTAGCCTTTAACGATACTCTACTCAGATAGTAACTGAGTTGGATTTAACGCGGCTTTGAACAGTATTTCAGATATATCACGGCGTTTTGCTGAAGAATTTATCATAATAGAAATTACGTCAGATAAAATAAACTATTATATCTAGAATTCAGAATATTTAGGTTCGTTATATCATGACATATGTTTAGCTACACTGAGAATCGTTCTCACTCATCGAGTTCGTCCTTATAGTTACCTTTTGGAATGTCTGCATATGGTCATGTCTGCAGCTATCTGATGAAGTTATTATTATCACAATCTTTTTCTACTGTCCTGTCTGCATGCGATGATATCCGTGGTCGCGTGATTTTTGATGGCGTCTCTAGGCGTCTGTAGGCGTCTTCATTGATATTTATGGCCGTATGAGTTAATCTTGTCATGACAGCATGTGGTGACATCTGTAGGCGACTTAAGTGATATCAATAGTAGTGAGTTAATCTTGTCATGGTAGCATGCAGCAACATTTGTAGGCGTCTTCATTGACATCCATGGCCGTGTGAGTTCATCTTGTCATGACAGCATGGGTTGACAACTGTAGCCGTCTTCATTGACATCCACGGTCGTGTGAAGTCATCTTGGCATGACAGCATGCGGTGATATCTGCACCAGTAGAAGGGTTAATCATGTGTCCATGCGGTGATTACCGAAGTCATCTGGGGTCTGGTTGTCATGGCTCCATGCGGTGATATCTGCACCAGTACAAGGGTTTAGCATGTGTCCATGCGGTGATTACCGAAGTCATCTGAGGTCTGGTTGCCATGGCTCCATGCGGTGATATCTGTAGCAATGAAAAGTCTTATCATGACAGCATGCGGTGTTATTCATCGTTATCTGAGTTCTTATTGCTATATTCGGCAACCAACGACGAAACCTGATAAAACATAACATAAGGTATAACAGAGATCGGTCTGACACGGCTTCGGACAGTATGTAAGTGAAGAGATGTGTGTCGTAGACAGCATTTTCTTGCGAAGTCCCTGAGCTCGGCGGGTATTGTGCTATTAAACCAATGATTATAACATATGTAACTTAAGACCCGAACTCACGATTATCAGATTCAGGTAATTATGAAATGACACTACTATTGTCATTCAATATTTCCGTTGTGTTCAGCCTGAATCTCATGATCAAGTTCTAAAATGACGTTAATAACGCATCAGTAATATTTCAGCAAATAGAGAGAGGAACTTTTGAAATGAACATATGTTTCCTTACAAACACTTAAATATTTATGCGAATTGTGTTAGTGGCGGTGGCTTCCGGTCATGCTTACCCTTTTCGCAAGCACCTGATGTCATCACCGATTTTCAGCAATCCATTCATAAAGTTTCTTTCAGTGGCATTTAGAAGTTGGTGTGATGAAGAAAGTTAAATTCTATGTATGAACATTCCAATGAGCTTCCGTGGTTGTTTACCCTGTCCCATTAGTCATTCACTGGCTTCCAATCATCTTAATCAGCTCTCTGTGTCCATCAATCAATTTACTGTATAAACATTGATGTTAATAAGTATATATACCTATGTTGTTCAGCACTTTCCATCACTTGCTTGATAAAGGTGTTAGGATCTACACCGAAACGTCGCACTAATTGTAATAAAGAAGTTGTTCATCCATAGAACTTGTCTTTCTTCATTCATAAAGTTTTCACAACTTTGCTTTTTACATCCAACTGAAACACATACAACTTCAGAGACTGTGGACAACCCTGAGCATTGGGATGCACTCGCTGGTCTGAGAAGTACGATATAATGACGTCACGCTTTACATCTACTTGGAACGGTATAGATTGCATACGTCGACAAAATATTCAGAAAAATAATGCAATGCGAGGCTCGTGTACTCCGACTGACGTGCCCTAATCGAGCTTTATATTACGATAAGAAAGTAAGGGCGAGTTCATTGTTTCCTTTGGAAAGAAACTGTACTATTTCCATACATTCAATGAGGATGAATCGACTTGATGCTGCAACATCTTGTGTTGCTTATGATTTACATTTTAATTGAAGCTGCAGATTTGCCTGTATGAATAATCTAGGATTACGAAGCTGTACTTGTAGTAAAACGTCGTTGACTATTTTGAGTGGTATGTTTGACTACATTCTGCTTGGCCTCATCCATCAAGTTGTCTTTAAAGAAGTTTCCTACGCCTTGAATCATTTTCTTTTGGCGTAATTTTTAAGAATGCGAATTTGATGAAAGGGACCCGATACTTGCACAAGCAATCTATTTGTGTCTACAAGTTGCCAACAGGGGATATAACACCCCGACACCCTGAGTGTTTTTAGAATAACGTGTGAAAACTTTCAAAAGGTCTTATGGTAGATATGTGGAAGATATTTCCAAATTTGACTCATCAGTGATGTCCGATGCAATTCCCTATTTCCGTTTTGTCCTGATTACTATCCTTGTTTTGTGGCAAGCGTTGCTTAAGCATTCTAGGAGATACTAAGTCCTACGTAGGAGATAATAAGTCCTACGTAGGACATAGTAAGTCTAGGCCATACTAAGTCCTACGTTTGTTTGTTTGTTGTTTAACGCCGCACTCAGCAATATTCCAGCTTTATGACAGCGGTCTGTAAAAATAATCGAGTCTTGACCAGACAATCCAGTGATTGACATCATGAGCATCGATCTACGCAAACGGGATCGATGACATGTATCCCGTTAGTCGCCTTTTACGACAAACATAGTCTCCTTTTACAGCAAGTAGTGGTTGCTGAAGTCGGAAGTCCTACGTAGGAGATAGTAAGTCCTACGTGAGAGATACTAAGTCCTACGTAGGAAATACTAAGTCCTACGTAGGAGCTAGTAAGTCCTACGTAGGAGATAATAAGTCTGACGTAGGAGATACAACACCTACGTAGGAGCTAGTAAGTCCTACGTAGGAAATACTAAGTCCTACGTAGGAGATACTAAGTCCTACGTAGGAGATACTAAGTCCTACGTTGGAGATACTGAGTCTTACGTAGGAGATAGGACTTAGTATGGCCTAGAATTACTACGTAGGAGATAGTAAGTCCTACGTTGGAGGTAGTAAGTCTTACGTAGGAGATACTAAGTCCTACGTAGGAGATAGTAAGTCCTACGTAGGAGATAGTAAGTCATACGTAGGAGATAATAAGTCCTACGTAGGAGCTAGTAAGTCCTACGTAGGAGCTAGTAAGTCCTACGTAGGAAATACTAAGTCCTACGTAGTAGATACTAAGTCCTACGTAGGAGATACAAAGTCCTACGTTGGAAATACTAAATCTTACGTAGGAGATAGGACTTAGTATGGCCTAGAATTACTACATAGGAGATAGTAAGTCTTACGTAGGAGATACTAAGTCTTACGTAGGAGATAGTAAGTCCTACGTAGGAGACACTAAGTCCCACATAGGAACTTGTAAGTCCTACGTAGGAGATAGTAAGTCCTACGTAGGAGATAGTAAGTCCTACGTAGGAGATACTAAGTCCTACTTAGGAGATACTAAGCCCTTCGTTGGAGATACTAAGTCTTACGTAGGAGATAGGACTTAGTATGGCCTAGAATTACTACGTAGGAGATACTAAGTCCTACGTAGTAGATAGTAAGTCCTACGTAGGAGATAGTAAGTTTTACGTAGAAGATACAAAGTCCTACCTATGGGATTCTTAGAGAAAAAAAATTAACCGTGGCCCCACTACGCTTCCGTATAAAATAACAAGGAAACATATATGGGTTTTTTAAATGTTCCAAATTAGGTAAAAAAATATTGACGTTCTGTCCACAGATTTATTTTATCTAAAGAAACTTAAAGATAAAATATTGTTTTTAATTTACTCATTACGGTTAAGATATGATCAGGTATCATTGGTCTACCTGCTATTATGAACACAGCTTTGTGTTCTCTTTTATAATGCCAGGATCATATATTCGTGGGTGCGATTACTCGTTTTGTCCTGATTACTATCCTTGTTTTGTGGCAAGCGTTGCTTAAGCATTCTAAAATGTACTGATAGATGGTTTGAATCCCGGATTCATACCCGGCACCATACCCGCGTCCGTTGGTTATAAACGATAAACGTCTAAGACCTGCATGACGTTCGGCTTTCCTTTCATACTGAACTACTGTTCAGAGTGGCGTTAACCCCAACTCATACTGGCGTACTATACATTTATGTCATTAATGCTGTAAGACTATCAGACTAGTTTGAACCATCATATTTTAATCAGCCAACTGATTACATGTAATATACAGAGGTACAAACATAACATCACCAAAACAGTATAAAGAAATACACAGTAAAAACCCCAAAGCAATCACAGTTAAGCAAGCAATACCTTCCTCCACATATACATGCTGTATCTCCTCAGGTAAGCGACCCGTGAAGATTCCGAGGTAGAATAGGTCTTCAGCAGGTTTGTTTGTTGTTTAACGCCGCACTCAGCAATATTACAATTATATGACGGCGGTCCGTAAATAAACACGTCTGGACCAGACAATCCAGTGATTGACATCATGAGCAACGATCCACGCAATTGGGATACGATGACATGCATCAACCAAGTCAGCGAACCTGACCACCCGATCCCGTTAGTCGCCTTTTACGAAAAGCATAGTCGCCTTTTACGGCACGTACGGGTTGCTGAAGATCTATTCATTCCCGGATGTTCATGGGTCCCTTTTCAAAGTAATAGCTGCTATGTTGTATAATAATTTATAATGAAGTAGATCTGCACATGGTTAACATTGAAACCCACAACGTTGTAAGTGCATTTGTTATTTTTAACCATGCACCATACTTCTCTATGAGAGTTGCCTCGCTAATGGTAATGTTTAGTCCTGTAGCCTGACACGTCAATTATTCACACTGTCCAAGTGCTAATATCTCGACACACGGAAACTGGGTCAACGTTTCCCGAGTAGCGATATACTGTCGGCCTGACTCCTTCCCTCTCGACAGACAGGCCCGCTTCACGAAAGTGGGTCAACGTATCACCGAAGAGAAATGATGTATGAGGAAAAAGGTCGGATAGAGCTGGACTTGTAACCTGCCCATCGCCTCCTTGCGGCTTCAGGCGAGGAGCGCAAGCGCTCTAGGGCATGTAAACCATTCAAGGACATGACGTGCCTCCCTGCAATGATTGTTCCCGAAAAACATAGACATGTTTAATGCAATAATCTACAGTTAGGAATGCATTCAAAAATATTTCATAATTCTTTCAGTATTTCGCATGTACGCATATCATAACACTCATAAAAATTTGGGGATCGCCTCCGTGGTCTTGTGGTAGAGCGTCCGCCCGGAGTGCGGAAGGTCCGGGGTACGATCCCCGGCCGCGTCATACCAAAAGACGTTAAAAGATGGTACTTGTTGTTACCCTGTCTGGCGCTCGGCATTAAGGGGCTAAAACAAGGACTGGTCGGCTCAGAGTCAGGATACTGTGTCTGAGTGGGGTATTCATGTTAAACTGCGGCATGGTATCTCAGTGAGCTAGCACTATAAATCGGCATCAGTCCGGACTAGTACAAGCAGCCACACATACACATACACGTACATGCACGTCGCTATACAAGTGCAATAATCTGTGACGCGACGTTAAACCCAATTTCACCTCACCTCACCATAAAAGTTTGGTCACATCTTTCCAATGATTACTCATCACCATATCCCATGTAATTTTCTCAAACAATAACAAATAAGGTACGGCGCCTGGCAAGGAGATTGTAATATAACTGTCAACATTCTCGCGCATCACATTCAGCTTGGGTTTTATACTCCCCATGGAGTTGATAATGTAAATTGAAGGCAATGAGGTAATAATACTGGACATAGCGCTGGCGACAGGTGGATTCTGAGCATTACATCATCATAATGATAATGTATGGGCATGAAAACTGGTGCCTTATAAATTGTTGTTATTATCCGATCATTATGTACAGATTAAAATAAAAATGCAGCAAAGTGGGTTTGGGTGATCCTGGCACAGTCAGCCCAGGGCCATTGCCCTCTCTTCACGCACCCCAAAGAGCGAGTGGGACTCCTCCCAGAAAGCGCTGCCTAGTCAAACCCATCCGGAACTTTTCGGAGAATGTGAAGACTCCCCAACACTGCAGCCTTCTGTATTAACACGATTGTCCGTAGGGCCGTATTCCTGATAGCAAACCCGGGTTCTCTCCCAATGTCAGTCAACAGATTGGGAGGTATCCACCTAAGGCACCGAGAACAATGGGGGGTCGGACTACTTAGTACTGCAAGGTGCAAGCGTGACATTTCGAAAGCGAGGTCTGCATATTTGCCATGTTTTCCCCCAATTTTGTCAATCACATTAGTGTCAAAAGGGACAGAAAATTCAATAATATAAATGATTTCATTGGATTTAACAAACAGGACAAGATCAGGTCCTCATCTAAGCGAAGGACTCGGCAGGAATACTGATCTTCTCTGGACATCAACTCGATGCAGTGGTCGTTCAGTTAGCCTCTCCTTGAAGAACTCCTTGAGTCTGGTCCGATTTGTTATGGCACTTCGCTTGGTTGACACTCATTTCTGTACCGTCCAGCAGTACAGAACCATCCACAAAATCTCCACTGACATTGAGATTATATCCCAAATCCTTGGCTCGTTTACGAAAACTACGGAATGCCTTGTTGTCATCATTAGTATTGACATGCTGCACAAGAGAATCATCAGACAAATATATTTGTGCAAAAGCGCACAAAACAATTCTGTCATGAAGAGCCCGAATGTTAATCAAACCACGCCCTCCCATTATGATTGGTAAATATAAGCGTTTGAGGGAAGAGCGAGGGTAGCAGGGTCTATTGTCTGACATGATTGTATCGTGTGAGGGTGTCAATACACTGAATTTCTTGTGTCGTCCAATCACCAACACCAAAGGAATATGGAAGGACGGGTACAGCATAAGTATTTGTGGCTTTTCCTTTAACGCGAGCGTTCAGCTCTGAACTCCTTGATATGGGCATTCTGGAGCTTGTCCATAATCTGCATCCCTAAATACGTATAGGCCTGACCTTCCACGAGATGGTCAATAACTCCTCCAAGTCGAGAGCTGTTGTACCCTGGGGGCGTGGATGCCGGATCATACCACACCGTTCACTCCGCGCTGACGTGTTTTACATGGTATATATAGAAATCTAGAGCCAGCATCTCATTCCCTCGTACATAGTGAAATGTGATGGGTAGACTACTGATGTTCCCGGCACCCTGAAACAGAAGAATAAGAACATTTACGCTCAGTCAGTGTCAGTAAGTATGGTGTTACGCCGCTTTTAGCAATATTCCAGCAATATCAAACAAACAAGTTTTCGATCTTCCTTCTGTATTTTAAAAAGGAATATGCCAGGTATACGTCAAGATATGCACTGCAAGACGTCCGTATACCCTACGGCTTAGTATCCACAATCCGGGGGCGGATTTCCGGAGGTTATAAGGTTTGGTATCCTCAAAGGTATCCGATAACATCACTTCACCAAGTTTGGGTAAAGTTGTCATCACCTCTTTGTAAAGCAGCGTGCTGTACAAACCGTGTAGAAAAACAAGTTTTGAAAACAAAATCAATCGCTCACCTTTCTTGCTCCATGCATAGTATGAGCCTTCACCCACTGTGGATACGAGCCTGACATATGTGTCAAAGGATGATATGCGTGAAATGTTGTCTTCCCCTCCTCATCCAGGGATCTCCCAACTTTTGCACCAAGATTCACAAGGCACTTGCCAAACTCCGCGTCTTCGGCGCCTCCATCTTGGGAACACAAGTCAGAGTTATTTCCCCTTTCGCCAAACCTTTTCAAAGCCTCATAACTCACGACGTAGCCAGCACCTCCGCTGTTGTATCCTTCCGGAATATAGTTCTTGAAATGGTTCCCAAAATAAACAGCTTCATTTTTATTTTGTTTTGATAAAAAATATTTCAAGTTGTCTACAAGGACATATGTGTCGTCATCCGCCTTAAGAAACCACTCCGCTTCTTTTAAGTAGTTGGTGTAAAGATGGCGGAAGGCTTGCATTGTTTTGGCAGTGAGGTGTTGTCTCCCTTCGGGTGTGCCAAGTCCAATGGTAGGGAAGGATTCATCAGTGGTGGAACTATAGAACAGGAGTTTATCGCAGCGTTTTCCCCACGTTTCCTTGACATATTGGGCTTTGGTTTTTAGATTCTTTGGTGCAGTCATAATCCAGCACAAGACCTTGATTTTGCTGATATCACGCCTTTCTTCGACATCTGAAACATTGGTTGGTTCGTTTGTTGTGTAACGCCGCACTCAGCAATATTCCAGCTATATGACGGCGGTCTGTAAATAATCGAGTCTGGACCAGACAATCCGGTGATTGGCATCATGAACATCGATCCACACAATTGGGATCGGTGACATGCATCAACCAAGTCAGCGAGCCTGACCACCTGATTCCGTTAGTTGCCTCTTAAGCTTAAGACAAGCATAGTCGCCTTTTACTGCAAGCATGGGTTGCTGAAGACCTATTCTACCCCGGATCTTCACGGGTCGTATGATAACAAAAACCTATTTCTAAATATATTTCAGCAACGTTTAAAGGACAACTTCAAAACAAACTGTATTTAGTTTGTTTGTTTGTTTGTTGTTTAACGCCGCATTCAGCAATATTCCAGCTTTATGACGGCGGTTGTATTCAGGACAGGGAATAAATTCAACTGAAATCACTAAACACGACACATGGTCTCTTGGGTTCTCTACATATACTACATTTCTATCATAAATAACCCTAAACAGATGTCGTGCCTGCACTTAAACAATCTATAGCAAGAACTATGCAACAAGCAGTATTTGTTGTATTATAAACTGGCGAGTCATCGATAAGCCAATACCACACATTCACGACCTCGATTTTGTAACGAAGCCAGATTTCATGTCAACTGAGCCATAAGAAATCATTATACATGGTTGCCGGCGAAATGTACTATAAATATATCTTTAGGCAATGTGCAATTTTGAGCATTCGTGTAATGTATTCGTATTATAAACGGGCTGAATTTACTGTTATAGCGCGTGGTGTAACCCACGAGTAAGGGTATAATGTTGACAAAAACTTGCAACTGATCCCATGAGGATTGCGGCACCTTAAGGCGTCTTCACACGGACTATATATGCTTGCAAACCCAAGACACGTTTCGCTGTTTGAATTGGCAAAATCAAAACAATGGAATTCGGCCAAGAGGTGTAACGTTAATTTCAGGTATAGAGTTCATCTAATGTGGTCCCATAACGGTCTAGTAACCAATTCCCTTCCACCAGTGGACCCGTGAAGATTCCGGGGTAGAATAAGTCTTCAGCAACCCATGCTTGCCGTAAAAGGTGACTATGCTTTCCGTAAGAGGCGACAAACGGGATCGGGTGGTAAGGCTCGCTGACTTGATTGATGCATGTCATCGATCCCAATTGAGTGGATCGATGCTCATAATGTCAATCACTGGATTGTGTGGTCCAGATTCGATTATTTACAGAGCGCCGTCATATGGCTGGAATATTGCTGAGTGCGGCGTTAAACAACAAACAAAACAATTATATAAACACTTTTGATCAGGGTTATAACATCCAATGCCTTTAGGGGCCGACCATTTGATATCATTTTCGTGGGGGCCTGGGGCTTTATATTGTCCAAGCAGATTCAAAGAAAATTCATGAAAAATATAATTATGCGTTAGACTGTTGAAAAAAAGGATATTGCCTGCAAGATAAATCACACTGTTGCAAGGTGTGTTTTTTTAGAAAAAAAAGTATTTAGGATCACACGTTTTACTTAAAAAATATCTGGGGGGTTTTCAGCTGAAACTGAAAATAATATCTCCTCTTCAAATAATATCATCCGCCCCAGAATATCAAATGGTCGGCGACTCATAAAGTTTTTTAAATGATGTTTGGTAGATATGTGGCAGATTCGCTGACTTGGTTGATGCATGTCAATGATCCCAATTGCGTGGATCAATGTTCATGATGTCAACCACTGGATTGTCTTGTCCAGACTCTGTTATTTACAGACCGCCGTCATATAGCTGGAATATAGCTGAGTGCGGCGTTAAACAACAAACACACAAACAAACAAAAATGATGTGCAGTGTAATTCCCTATGTTCACTTGTACCATACGTTTCAGTCGTTTTTTGTCAGGTAAACAATTGACTTACCATTGCATGTGTTTGTGACAGGAGACACCAGTGGATCAGGATATGTTAACATTTTCGCGAACACCTGGTCATCTCTAATTCATAGTGATTCAAAAGTAATTGCTTATGATATAGTCGGAATCTACGATGAATATTTATTATATATAGTTAACGAAAGGGTCTGTATGGACGATAACAAGCAAACAACCAGGCCATCGAGCCTGACAATCCGATCCTCTTCGGCTCTTATGACCATGTCTCACCAAGAATCCCCATGTGTGTGTGTGTGTGTGTGTGTGTGTGTGTGTGTGTGTGTGTGTGCGTGTGCGCGTGTGTGTGTGCTTGCGTGCGTGCGTGTATGGAGGGGGTGGTGGGTTGGATATGATATCATATGGGTTACCATAGGCATCAACTTCAGGGACAGTCCGCATGTTTTCCCTGAGGACATTTCGGATATCACTTCCAGTCTGATGTAAACTGACAACGTCCGTGCAATCCTCTTCCACCCTGATCCGCGTCTGTGTCTGTAGTAGAGGGTGGCTGAGAAACACATGTGAAAACATCAACCCGCAACAAAAGGCGAACAGCAGATGGATCACAGTGTACTCCATCAGTGACGGCCGCAAGTCAATGTCAAACTATCTTTACCATTAAGACCTGAAAAGATTAAAAACATACATTAGTTTGTTTGTTGTTTGACACCGCACTCAGCAAAATCCCAGCCATATGACGGCGGTCTTTAAATAATTGAATCTGGACCTGACAAATCCAATGATTGACATCATGAGCATCGATCTACACAATTGGGATACGATGACAAGCATCATCCAAGTCAGCGAATGTGACCACCCGATCCCATTGGTCGCTTCTTACGACAAACACAGAATGAGGCCGAACATTTCCGCAAAAAAATTAAAAATCTACCCCTCGAGAGACTGTAGAGGATACATTACGCAATTTCAAAAAGATCAGCCACACTCAAACGTCGACCACGTTTTCCGAGATCACTTGATGGGATTCCTGATCAGAAAATTTCCCCAGCACCAATGATGGTGTGGGTATTTACTCATGCATGGAGTCATGTGGTTTGTTCCTTTCGAGACTAGGTAGTCTACACCCATGATATGTGTAGGATAAAACAAATCCAAGGGTTTGAATTTCATAAACCCACAAGGGGAAATGTTTTATCTTAATTGTAAACCGAGACAAAACATCCGAAACAACATTTATCAACAATTTTATGTTTCAAACATGTGCCATGAACCTTAGGAAACGGGCGTAAAATATATCTACATGTTCTTGAAAAGAGATTCTTAAATGCTTTGTCATTTATGAACGCCTCTGTATTCTTGTGGTTTGTTTACTCACAAGGTTACAGACGAGATGATTGATCCACTGGGGGAGCTAAACTGAGGGCCAAAAGAAACGTTACCAACATTAACTGATTTGCCACTTTGAAACAAAGATGCCAACCTGTTCAAAAACAATAAAGAACACATCTCACGAATTACAGCCTTCATGTTCTCTGTCGTTCTTTGCACATGCTTTGCGGATTTTGGGAGATATTGGTGTTTTTCAGCAATTTTTTAAAACATTCTTTCCCAAATTATCGTGCAATTTCCGGGTATAAATTACGCATGGATCTGTTCCCTATCATTGGTTGCGATGATTAACACCAACGAACATGCCAAGAGTGACCGCTGTCCAGAGGGAGAGAGCCATAGGTATGCTGCAGATGGGAGCGACATAGAGAGCGGTTGCCATTAACATGAACTGCTCCAAGATGACCATTACCAGACTGGTTGATGTCTCCGACAGACTGGCAGAACCGCAGACAGACCACGAAGTGGCAGACCAAAGGTCACGACCCCGCAGGATGACCGCTTTTTACGGGTACTTCATCTGAGGAACAGATTTCTTACTGTGACGTCATCAGCTGCCAACAGCTTAGGACATCCGGTCAGCAGACAAACAGTGACCAGACGACTACGACATTATGGTCACCGGGCTTTTCGCCCTTTCAAGGGCATGACCTTGACTCGTCAACATCGGCATTGCACAAGATACAAAGACAATAAGAATAAAATGGGATAACGTCACTGGGGGTTTATTTAGCTGGAATACTGCATTGGCGTTTAACATATCCTCTTACATAGGATTTTGGAAAGTATTTCTGCTTAATAACCTTCAGGTTTTTGACGTAACTGAGTATACGATATGATGCTACAGAGCAACGAGACGGTCATGTATGATATCATGTAATCGGAAGGTATGACCATATACATTTAATACATAGAGTAGAAAGTGTGATGATATACAGTGAGTAGAAGATGTGATGATGTACAGTATGAAGGAGGTGTGAAGATGTACCGTGAGTAGAAGGTGTGTTGATATACAGTGAGTAGAAGGTGTGATGATATATAGTATGAAGAAGGTGTGAAGATATACAGTGAGTAGAAGTTGTGTTTATATACAGTTTGAAGAAGGTATGAATATATACAGTGAGTAGAAGGTGTGATAATATACAGTATGAGGAAGGTGTGATGATATACAGTGAGTAGGTGTGATAGTATACAGTTAGTAGAAGGTATGATGATATACAGTGAGTAGGTGTGATAGTATACAGGTAGTAGAACGTATGATGATATACAGTGAGTAGATGAAATAGTATACAGTTAGTAGAACGTATGATGATATACAGTGAGTAGGTGTGATAGTATACAGTTAGTAGAAGGTGTGATGATATACAGTGAGTAGGTGGGATAGTATACAGGTAGTAGAACGTATGATGATATACAGTGAGTAGGTGTGATAGTATACAGTTATTAGAAGGACCTGTTCTATCCCAGATATTCACGGGTCTGGAGGTATGTTGATAAACAGTAAGTAGAAGGTGTGATGATGTACAGTGAGTAGGTGTGATGATATACAGTGAATAGTAGGTGTGATGAAATACAGTGAATAGAAGGTGTGATGATATACAATGAGTAGAAGGAATGATGTACAGTGCGTGGAAAGTATTATGATATACAGTGAGTAGGTGTGATGATATACAGTGAGTAGTGGTGATAATATCCAGTGAGTAGTGGTGATAATATCCAGTGATTAGAAAATGTGATGAAAAACAGTCAGTGGAAGGAATAATGATATTCATTGAGTAGAAGGTATGATATATAGTGAGTAGGTGTGATGATATACAGTGAGTAGAAAGTGTGATGATATACAGTCAGTGAGGGGTATGATGATATACAGTGAGTAGGTGTGATAGTATACAGTTAGTAGAAAGTGTGATGATATACAGTGAGAGGAAGGTATCAAGATATACAGTGTGTAGAAAGTATGTTGATATACAGTGAGTAGGTGTGATGATATACAGTGAGTAGAATGTGTGATGATATACAGTCAGTGAGGGGTATGGTGATATACAGTGAGTAGGTGTGATAGTATACAGTTAGTTGAAAGTGTGATGATATGCAGTGAGAGGAAGGTATCAAGATATACAGTGTGTAGAAAGTATGATGATATACAGTGAGTAGGTGTGATGATATACAGTGAGTGGAAGTTATCATCATATTCATTGAACAGAAGGTATGATGATATACAGTAAATAGGTGTGATAGTATACAGTTAGTAGAAGGTATTATGATATACAGTGAGTAGGTGTGATAGAGTACATTTAGTAGAAAGTGTGATGATATAGTTTGAGTAGGTGTGATAGTTTACAGTCCGTAGAAAGTGTGATGATATACAGTGAGTAGGTGTAATAGTATACAGTAAGTAGAAGGTATGATGATATACAGTGAGTATGTGTGATAGTAGACAGTTATTAGAAAGTGTGATGATATACAGTGAGTAGGTGTGATAGTATACAGTTAGAAGAAACGTTTGATGATATACAGTGAGTAGGTGTGATAGTATACAGTTATTAGAAAATATGATGATATACAGAGAGTAGGTGTGTTAGTATACAGTAAGTAGAAGGTATGATGATATACAGTGAGTAGGTGTGATAGTATACAGTTAGTAGAAGGTATGATGATATACAGTGAGTACATGTAGGTGTGATAGTTTACAGTTAGTTAAAAGTATGATTATATACAGTGAGTAGGTGTGACAGTATGCTGTTAGTAGAAAGTGTGATGATATATAGTGAGTGGAAGGTATTATGATATTCAGTGAGTAGGTGTAATGGTAAGTAGTGAGTAGGTGTGATGATATACAATGAGTAGAAGGTATGATGATATAGAGTGAGTAGGTGTGATAGTATGCAGTGAGTGGAAGGTATGATGATATACAGTGAGTAGGTGTGATAGTATACAGTTAGTAGAAAGTGTGATGATATACAGTGAGTAGGTGTGATAGTTTACAGTTCGTAGAAAGTGTGAAAATATACAGTGATTAGGTGTGCTATTATACAGTTAGTACAAGGTATGATGATATACAGTGAATAGGTGGGATATTATACAGGAAGTAGAACGTATGATGATATACAGTGAGTAGGTGTGATAGTATACAGTTAGTAGAAGTTATGATGATATACAGTGAGTAGGTGTGATAGTATACAGGTAGTAGAACGTATGATGATATACAGTGAGTAGGTGTGATAGTATACAGTTAGTAGAAGGTATGATGATATAAAGTGAGTAGGTGTGCTAATATACAGTTTGTAGAAGGTATGGTGATATACAGTGAGTAGATGTAATACTATACAGTTAGTAGAACGTATGATGATATACAGTGTGTAGGTGTGATAGTATACAGTTATTAGAAGGTATGATGATATACAGTGAGTAAGTGTGATAGTATACAGTTATTAGAAGGTATGATGATATACAGTGAGTAGGTGTGATAGTATAGAGTTAGTAGAAAGTGTGATGATATATATTGAGTAGGTGTGATAGTATACAGTAAGTAGAAGGTGTAATGATATACATTGAGTAGGTGTGATAGTGTACAGTTAGTAGAAGGTATGATGATATACAGTAAGTAGGTGTGATAGTATACAGGTAGTAGAACGTATGATGATATACAGTGAGTAGATGTAATAGTATACAGTTAGTAGGACGTATGATGATATACAGTGAGTAGGTGTGATAATATACAGTTAGTAGAAGGTATGATGATATACAGTGTGTACATGTAGGTGGGAGAGTATACAGGTAGTAGAACGTATGATGATATACAGTGAGTAGGTGCGATAGTATACAGTTAGTAGAAGGTATGGTGATATACAGTGAGTAGGTGTGATAATATACAGTTAGTAGAAGGTATGGTGATATACAGTGAGTAGATGTAATACTATACAGTTAGTAGAACGTATGATGATATACAGTTAATAGGTGTGATAGTATACAGTTAGTAGAAGGTATCATGATATACAGTGAGTAGGTGTGAGAGTATACAGGTAGTAGAAAGTATGATGATATACAGTGAGTAGGTGTGATAGTATACAGTTAGTAGAAGGTATGATGATATACAGTGAGTAGGTGTGATAATATACAGTTAGTAGAAGGTATGGTGATATACAGTGAGTAGATGTAATAGTATACAGTTAGTAGAACGTATGATGATATACAGTGAGTAGGTGTGAGAGTATACAGTTAGTAGAAGGTATGTTGATATACAGTGAGTAGGTGTGATAGTATACAGTTCGTAGA